GTAGCTGGCTATCCTCTACGTCTACTTATAGTGCTGTAGTGCGCCACTAGCTAAGTGCCTCATCTTTGCCCCTCCCCTCTACCTTATGTTCCATTTGTTCTTCAATGGTGTGGTGTATCCTCGTTTTCTAGTCAAAAATTCATAGGGGATCAAACGGGACCGTACAACTACTCAACAAAGCCGTCTCTCGCCACTGCACTGAACAAATCCTGCTCAAATGCTGGCTCTTGCACTACCAATAATTATGAGGTGATTTTGTAGTACAGAAGGGCACGTAGCGCTATCTTAATTCAATGAGTTCAACAACTGTATTACAATATGGTGGAAAAACCTGTTGTACTTTTCGCTGCGCTTAGGAATTCTACAGAAGGGATGTGGTCAAGTTGAACTCATCGACAAGGAGAAGAAATTGAGGTTCAGCGAAGTAGCGCAGAAATGATGGGTCGCGCCCTTGTGCAGGCTTTTCTAGGAAAGATCTCGGTCTGCAAATATATTTTTTTGATTCATTTGTTTGAATGGTCATCAGGTTTATAGGGTCCTAAATCAGATGTATCACAGGAAAAACCTCCATTATTCATCACCATGGTAACTGCAAACAGTACGGAAGAGCTGGTTTTGGCAGGCAAGGGTCTGTATCCCGGATATAAAGGGACCATGACTGGGTGGAAAGTGCGCAAGTATGGACCATGACTCCATGCAGAATTAATGGGAGTGAATGAGGAATAGTTTCACCGAGAACCTCATGAGCGAATGAGCTATGCACACCCCGTAGCAATGTATTCGAGGACACTTCTACAGGGCTCACTACCCGCGGAGGGGGTCATATTTGTCGTAAGGCCGCTGGAAAGAGGGAGGCGTCATTTGCCATGACGAGAACATTTGCTTGTTGCGATCCTTCCTTCTGTTTCATGCTGGATGCACTCCTTCATTGGTTGGCGACATCTCAAACTATTTACTATCTGCGATAGTTGATCGAGAGTGTCTACACTTGCTCGTGTCCCGAAAGCAAAATTCATTGGAAGTTCGGCAAACTGGGAGGTAGAATGGAAAAGGGAGTTGCACTAGGGGAGAATTAGTGAGAGGAGACGTCTTTTGAAAAAATTCCCTACAAGGTGATTTGTTCCACAACGTGTCAGTCCTCTAGATGCCTTGTATGCCGTGCTGTAAACGTATCGGAGGCCGCTGATCAGGTCGGTAAGGCTGGCCCTGCACGGCAACTATTCTCATCAGGTCGATAGGCTGTCCCGCACGCAGTTTGCAACTGAGTGCATTTTTTTGCTGATCTTTTCTTCGCTTTGAAATTAATGATCAAGCAAAAATTCCAGGGAGACGTTTTTATTCTACTTTTTGAGGTATTTTACGTAGCATAGATGAATGGAGTAGCACGAGCCCGTGGCTGGAGTTCAGAAATCAAAGGGATTGAGAACCGTTGTCGAGCGAGTCACCGAAAAGTTTTTGGGAAGTTGTATGGAATTTGCTGCCGGTCAGCATTAGTCATACATTGCCATCACACCTAGCGGCACGTTTGTTCCAAACCTGACCCGGCTCTGGTTTTCGAACTTGTTTTATTACCACCGCGAAATCTAGGACAGAGAGATCTCGCAAATAGAGTCCTTCAGCTATTCTATGAAAGCGTATAGATCCTTGTCCTGAAAATGAGTGAAAAAATGGCAGAAAATGCAGAAGGTAAAGATGAGGACGTACAGGGCTGTAGTTCGCAGAGTTTACAGGGCATCGACTGGATAGTTAACGTGATCTTCTAATCACCAATAGGACAATTTTGAGTGACTTCCATTACCATTCTGTGGCTATTTATACACGAACCATAGCTGGGATTACCAAGGCTTTGGATCCCTGCAGAGCTTATGTGGGAAGCTGACTTCTCTCGATAATTCGTGGAAGCTCATGCTCGCCACAGACATACTTGTTCTTTGCAAAGCAGCGGAAGGAGATGGCTAGTGAACCAAGACTGCGCAAATGATGGCGAAGATGATCTTGAGAACAGAGTCTCATAGAAATTGTCCCCATTTCTATAGAACATTTGGGGGATTCTGAGAGAAAACCAACGTAAATAAGACTTCCGCTAAGATGACCCCGTGTTGACGTTGATATCCGGATCTCGTTTTAGCATTCTCGTTCAGGCTGTCGTTAACCGATTTTTATTGTTCGAAAAAATCCGAATGCGGTTGGGATCGTCTCCGATCTCACTTGCTCCACATTCGATGATTCGACCCGACTACAGTTGCGTTCTCAAAGAGAACCACTATCCGTTCGCAGCGTGTGAGACATATAACCCTACGATGTGCGACGAAACGAAATTCTCGATTTCATCGTGCCCCTCCATTCTCGTTAACTTTAACAACTGCGCAACTCATCGTCTCAGACTCATTCTTTCATGAAAGTCCTCCGTATCCCTCCCGTAAAAATGTCGTCTCTCCCAGCATAGTGAAACACGAGTCCCACGGAGATACGCCTAGTTGCCGAAGGCCCTGAGCTGTAGCTTGTTTCGATTCTTTGTCTCTAGTGTCACAAGCTCTTCAAGCACATTCGAAAATAGTACTACTACTATTACTACTTACAAAACTACTCCTCCTCTTCCATCTCATTTCGTATTTATATCGTATTTCGCCTTTACCTGGTATCATCAGTATACTAGAACTCAATTCCAGATGGGCCGTGTGGCCGTTACGCTCGTCACCTCTCTTGCCATCACTTTCCTGAATCCAGCGCGACTGCCTTTTCGATTACGCAAGTGACGAAACCGCGGCTGCTGTAGTCGGTATACATCTCGTCCATTTAGCAAGTAAGGACGAAACGTGGGCAATTTCTCAGTTGACCTACCACTAGGCCAATAGCGCAGAGGCCCAAATATGACTTCTTTCAATGATGATCAGAAGAAAGTGAATTGTTTCTAGAATTCTCGAACTTTATCCTCACTCGTGGTGCTCTAGATCGGTGCAGTGCAATCGCGGCGCATCGCAGCGGAATGTCTATTATCCATCTGTCTGGAAACAGTCACCTGGGGCGTAGCCGTTAGTTTGACCCGCATTCCTACAAACGGATCATCCTCGTAGGAACCCCACGGACCGAGCTAATGTCACTTGATTGTCGCTGCGAATACCCTTGCGAGACGAAACATGGACATTTCCTTGGACCAAAGCAAGGTCCCAGTTGTTCACTTTATTCATCCCGAGGAACTGTTTATGTTTGAAAAATAATCTGTCAACAGCCTGCCTCAGCCCCATGTAATTGTTAAAACAAAGTGGACATTAATACATGAAAACATTCTTCAATTTTAATGAACTCAGGATTACTGTACTATTGGAGGTTATCCCTGAGTTGGAATTCGTGACCTGTTAGTCGTTTGCACAGGGTGCGCAAAAACTACGTGCGCAATGTTGCAGTTTTAAGTAGCCTGTGTTTTCCGCATCGACATTCACCCAGGGTAATGAGCCTGCTGAGTACCATGTCTACTCGGGATACACATCTACCTTACCGTACTCACATCTGGGAGTGATACCCCTCGAGGCACTACCAAGTTGATCTACGAGGCAACAGGCTTATTTAATTATTCACGTTCTCTCAAAATGTTCTTTCAGAGGCAATTCACGCCGGCCCTCCGCCATCGGCGTGCGTTGAACATTCGCCGTTGGGTAAATTCTCAGGCACCAGACTAAACGCCGCACTGTGCACAATTCTTGAGAAGAGAGACGGAGAATTCTGAGAGAGATCGGGGAAAGGTTGTAGGACTATATACCAGCCACGAGTGTATACATATTTCCAAAGGAGCCGGAGAATATTATAAAACCATCAAGAATCTGGTGGAACCATTTGGTCAATACTCACGACACAAAGCTGACCGTCCGAACCGATTTTTTGCCGAAGAAAGGTAGAAAAATGACGCATGGCAGCGGACATGGGAGAGGGACTACTTCTGTTCTGGATCGTACTTCCGCTTCCGACTCGTCGTGGACTCAGCAGTGCTTGGCCTAGAGACATCCTTCATTCGACTTCATCAACGTCCGAAAACCCCCGCTGCCAAGCTTCGCCTGGAGCCGATCACTCGAGCAAAACCTTCGAAGTATTTCCACGCCAAGTGAAGAACTCCTGCTCCCGCCCCATCTCATTTAAAGAACCGGGTTTGCGATAGTCCTAGGAGAAATCTGAGGGGAGCGAATATGAACAGACCTCGAGTGATTGTAAAGGTAGACGCAGGTGCAAGCGATCAGTGTCTTAAACGACCCGTCTGGTTTACTGTTTGTACAAAGACATTTATTTTAAGACAGTGTCAAGATCATTTATTTTTATCTTACCGCGCACTGTGACCTAGCCGGCCGACCGGTGGGGGCAGTCGGGTCTCCACCACCGAATAGTAATGGAAAAAAAAAACAGAAAATAGAGAGTTCGATGGGAGGGCATTTTTCACTTTCGCAGCTTCTCTAGTCTCACTCTGGAGAAACCTGTGAGCTTTTGTGAGGCTGGAGCAAGTCGTCGAGCCACCAACAATGCCCCCGGCTACCCCCAGACAGAACCTGTTCAACTTTTGTGAGCTCATTGAATAGCTCTCTAGATGGTCGACACATTACGAGTGGAAAGTAGAAAAAACAAAACGACTAGTGCCCCCCCCTCCCCTCTGCCCTCCGCCCCCCGTGCGCCGATTCGCCGCGCCTTTGTTTCTGTTATGAACCCTATGATCTGCCGTACGACTCTGACACTTGGAGATTTCAGAGGCGCGCAACCATTCTCTAACGTGGCGCAGCACAATACCGAGAATGGGTAGCAGGTCCATAATGATTACCTATCCGAATTCCAACATGCGGGGATCAGAGCTGGCTACTGCGGCAGGGAGTTTGTTCTCGTCAAACTCCTGAGCGTAGTGTTTTGCAGAGATGGCGAGCAATAATTGTAAACGTCCCTCTATTATCAGTCCTCTCGACATCGGCCCAACACCGCAATTTCCCACTTTAAGGACTGGCTTCTCGATCACTACGCTCCGACGTATGCTCGATTCGCTGAGCGCTACATTCAGGTATGAAATTATCTCTGGGCCCACTGTGAGCTGTGATTCTCCCAATTGATTTTCTTGACTACTACTTTTGATATAGATCGGTCTAATGATTCCTGATGGACCAATGCGTGAGTGGACGTACTTGGATGGTTCGAAATACAACCAGTCCGTGATGTGAGTATCCAATGATTTCTTGCACTCCTTAGACTCTGAAATGGATTAGAAAGTACCAAAATTATTTGCCAAGAATTGAGCTAAGGATCTACGTCAAAGCGGAGAGCGTCGCTCCACACGTATTTATCAGTAAGGAAAAAATCGCGAGACCAACTTTTTGAATCTTAACGTTCATCGCATTTAGTTGGTGTTCTATGGTAAAAACTCCACATCGACCACACTGGATTTAGAAGAAAAAAAACCGGTGAATCATGGCGCAGTGATAGAATCGAATACATCAAACGATTGAAACACTTTAAGGATAATTCCATTTAAAAGTAACGCTTGCGTCACTAGACACTATTTGAAGGAAAATCTTACTGGTCACGTCCTGTTCGTCTTTGTTCCGAACGCTCTGGAAACCCCCATATAAAGGCATGCGCCCGGGTTTACTTGAATGTTCATACGCCCCCGTATTGGATAGACCGTAGCATTTGTCGACAAGCGTGGTATGTACAATCGCAGCTCGAAAAGAATACCAGGCCGCAACCTCGCTTTGTGAAGAGAGCGCCTTCTCCACGTCTGTTACATATTAGTGCTGTTGGCTTAATACTTTTGATTTGGAGAGCTCAAACGCTTTACATAGGTAATAGTTATTGGAGCGTGAACTATCGTGATTCCGGTCAGGCGAGGAGAAAAAGAAGCAGAGAAAAAAAATCCGTGGGGGGAAAAAAAAAAACAAAAAAAAAGGTGGGGCGGGCCGCCCCCCTTAAAAATAATTTAAAGCAATCCTATGCTGCCAGATGATCGGGCGGCCGGCTATTCACTAGCGAACGGCGCCATCCTCTCGTCTTTTTGAGATGCAAAACTAGTACATACTGCATCCTCATAGTGAGGGCTATGATATCCAGAGAGGGTGCGGGAACTCAAATGAACATTGGCGCTGCCTTTAATTCCAAGACGAAACTCAAGAGCCGCTTTGGGTAAATGCTTTTTTTCGAAGTTTTCAGAAAATTCATATCGTCTTAATAGTTTGTAAACCTAGGAGAGCCTCACGAAACTTACATGTTAATTCTCGTTGATTTCCACGCCTTGGATTCGGGAGCGACGCCCGTTCGATCACTCAGCTGACGGGCTTGAGCGCTGTGCTCTCTTGCGTGTTCACGCACGCGTTCTCGACGATGTAGACTGTGAGGCGACTCCACGCAATCAGATGCCTGTTAGATTCATCTGCGAACGAAGTGGTGCTCGTCATAAGGAGGTGAGTTCAAGCTCATCGAATGTGTCTGAATTGAAGTGAAACCAAAATCTTCTTAGCAACAACTGTCGAAAAACTTCATCTGGGGAAAGCTGGAGCAACTATTTGACTTCTTCGGCTTTTGCCACTTGGAGAGCCCGGCCAAAGAAAGGCAATATATTACGGATGACGATGATGAAGATTACGAAGTTGATGCGGTAAGCATTGCAGATAGAAGGCGCACATGAGGTTGGTTATGCTGCAAATGCTGGGCGGTCAGGGGAGGCAGGGACTGGTGGTTTGGCATCATCCCACAGCAACTGTTGAAGCGGGCAAGCGACAACGATTGGTGGAAAACCGGCTGTGCCCTGCCGAGCCCAGCCTCTGCAGGGAAAACGACCTGAAATCTGGCGTTCATTATCCTCGAAAGGGAAAAACTCGCTCGATTATCCATCCATCACAGATAGTGGACTAGAGGTTTGCATACATGTATGGAGGACATGGTTCTGAGTAACACGATAGTGAAAAAAAAACACGCCAACTGCCCTAGATAGAACACTATTTTGATTCCAGTTTGTACGTGCCCACCCATCCTCAGCACTACGCCCTCATTCGCACAGCTGTTTCCCCGATGAGAACTCTACCACCATGCGAGTTACCATTTCCATGCTTTTTCGTCCTGCAGCTTCGTTTTTCACTGGAAAGGCCGGGCCAGGTGGAAGTCCACTGACAAGAGGAGGCCGTTATGAACGCTATATTTGCGTTACTAGCGGCCCCTCTCCTGTACAATTTTTGAGTTGCGAAACCGGTAGCGGTTGTTGCGTCGAAGGCCCACACTACCCCCCGAGCGCCAAACTTCCCACTTCTAATACCTGATCGAGGACCGTGCCTCACATATCTCTTATGAAACCCTTACACCGGAGCTCCTTATTATTGTCGCGGTCAAACATGATAATTATAGAAGGCTGGGCATTAGTGATAAAAAATTTCCAGATCAACAAGTACAACGCCACTTCCACGGAGCGTAAGATGTTGCGAAAACTTAAGGTATTCGAGACCTCAAGCGAAGAAGAGCGTGAAGTGCTGGAAGCACTACGAAGCTTGAACAAGGTAAATAACAAGAAAGCCGTTTTGAGCTCAATTTTCCTTTATCATAGATCTCTGGCAGAGGGAAAAATGAATGGTAAATTTGACAGCTTTAACACTTCCGCTCTCAGGCCTGGAAACTAAGACACGAGCACGCGGCTTCCTGGGCTGATGAAGTGACATCAACCCTGATTCCTACAGCGAGCTCGACCACAGACACAGCACGGAAATTGGAAAGAGAACGGCTAGTAGGTCCGTGCTGCTGGTAGAGATTACCTGAACCTACCTATTACCCTGTTTCAATGGAAGTTGAGATAAGCACGACTTCAGGTTCGACAACCCCGATCAAAACGCAGTCTAAAGCTGAAGAACTCTCGACTACGACGGTTCAAGAAGAGACGGAGACAGCATCTAATGCACTGCCTTCGACAGAAGAAAGTAAAAAACTGACGACCGAAGAGGGCACAACTGAGTCGCCAGCAGTTGACGAGAGTACCAGTGAAGCGTCGTCAAAAGCTGCAAGCTTCACTGGAGCATCAACGACAGAAGAGAAAACTTCGGAACAAGCTGGCACTGAGGAGAGCACGACTGAGGTACCAACAACCCTGGAAAGCGTAAGTCAGTCGTCGACGGCAGCGGAAAGCACGACCGAGGGGTCATCAGTAGAGAAGGCCGATAACGCTTCTGTACGAGCTCATGCAGTCCCTCTTCGAGAGATCACTGAGGTCGAAGGAAGTGGTACAACTGTAGAGAGGAGTCAAGTCGAAAAGGTAAGCTCAGTACGAACTTAATTGTATGATTCAGCAAATTCAAACTGAAGCTCTTCCAGGAATCCAAGCCGATCAGACAAACCGAAATTGATCCTGAGAAACTGGAAAAGATCATCAACACAATGGAGAAAATGGTTGCGAACCTGGAAAACATCTCAATAGTTGAGAAGGGAAAAGAAACCAAGCTGGAGAACGACAAAGACTCGATGCAGAAGGAGAAGGAAATACGAAAGAAGGAGGAGACCAAGGAGGATTCACAGAAGAGCGAAATAAATAAGAAAGAAAAGCCAATCGATTCCCTTGTTAGGATATCCGAGGTAATCTTTATAGCAGTGAGGTGACTTAAGCTTCCTCAAGGTTTTCCCTAGTACGTTCTCATAACTGGCACTTATGCTTCAGAAAGTAAAGGACGATGGAGCGGGCCAAGCAGAAATGGAGAAAGATTTTGATGAGAAACTGAACCAGAACATGGTGGGTTTTGAATTAGCACATTCCATCAGGGTACATCATCGCTGTGTGGAACACATAGGGGGGTCGTACTTTTCGGCTGGGGAGGGGGGTCGTATTTGGTCGTTGTTGGGAGAGGGGGTCGTATGCGGGCCTTAGAGAGAAATTTGCCGCGTTAGGAAAAAAATTTCTCCCAGTTGTTTAAGTTGTAATTTGTTCTGCTAAAGAGGTTGGTAGGTGGAAGACTTACAGTGTGTTTCACTTACTAACTGACAACTGACAGCGAGTGGCATCGTTCCGCTCATGTGGTGGTGGACTGGTAAGTTCGTTTCTCACACTCGGGTTTTTCTTGGTAGTTCTCCTAAGATTTCGCGCCAAATACGCTAGGGATCCGAGGCGTTTGGTGGTCTAGTGGATACAACATCCAAACCTTGAGCTATGTTTAGGCCTCTGAGGACGACGATCCTGTCGAAACGTCAGGCCATTTATAATAAAGTCTTCCACCTACCAACCTCTTTGGCAGAACAAATTACAACTTTAATAACAATGATTGCCAAATACGATAGAGAAAAACACCGAGGCGTTTTATGCGCAGACCGAGAGACCGCTGAGAACACTCTGCCGGGCTATGTCTCGAGGCTTTGGTAGTGACTTTTGCACTGTACTCTCAGTGTTCATGCTATACCCATAGACTATTTTTCTCTTTTGAATTGGCTGGCACCGCCCTCGCCTCCTCACGCCGTCCCTACTCCTCACCTCCCGTACCCCCGCGCCCCGCTTGACGAAAAATCTGTGAGTGAAAAACTGGAAAATGTGGGAAATTAGTAGATCAGTCGTCACATCCTGCTGCTGAAACGTACTCCTGGAATTGCACTACAGCAACGAACATGTGCACTGGTGATGAAGAACGTCTAGAATCAAGAACTCTAGCTTCAAAAATTGCTAGAGAAAATCGCGATCACAACGCAGAACACCAAATGCTAGCCTGAGACACAGACCACGCCAGGGAAATTACCCTTATGCCTTCCTTTCATTTCCGATGAAGTGAGCACTGAAATACACCGCAGTATTGTGAGAGCGCAGTTACAGGAAGATGTTGCCTTGGTGAATATTCCCAATGGCAGCATCAAACGGCAACTTGTCCGCAATAGACTGTACGACAGGCAGTGCGTCACACCGGACTGCGTTATTTGCCCATATGGAAGGTCAGGAGATTGTGAAAAAGTTGGAGTAGTTTATCAACTTGAATGCAGGGCTTGTAACAGCACGTACATCGGGGAAACAGGAAGGGATTTAGCTACGCGCGTCAAGGAACACCTAGCTGGAAAAAGGCGTGGTATAATGACCACTCCTCTTGGCAAGCATAAGGTTGAAGAGCACAACGGGAAAGATTTTGATGTTTTGAAGAGCACAACGGGAACGATTTTGATGTTAAGTGTAGTATATTGGCTTACGAGACGGATATCTCGTCCAGGAAAGTTTTGGAATCGTTCTGGATTTTCGCGAGGAAACCGAGGATGAACGGCCGAAACGATGCTTGTCTATTACAAATTCCTCCGGCAGGCGAATTCCTTCCGTTTGTATCAGAATGCGAGCTACAATAAGGACGACGTGCGTTATGACAATTTTGTCTTATGCAATACGATGGGACTCGAGTGAGTCTCATTCGCCCTTACTAATCCAACTAACAGACAGCGAGAGCTGGGCTGCGCACGGATGGTACCTTCGTGCTCGCAGTTGCTCGCAGTTATACCTGGTTGTTCGGGAGCGTTCGCGACATGACGTCGGAAACGCTAGAGTGGGGAAGGCGTTTGGTCGGGTAGGTAACAAATTCAAAAGCTTCGAGCCATTTTCAGGCCTCTGAAGAAGACGAGAAGGTCGAAACGTTAGGCCAATAAAAGGTTCACCTAACAACCTCGTTTGGCAGAAGCAACTTAACATTCGCGTAGATCAGTGTTGGGAAGGGGGGATCACACCGAGATTCTCTTCCGAGAGGGGAGATCGTACTGGCACCACCTTCCACACACCACGGTGCTGTACCCTGCATTCCATGCATGTCTCTTCGATAATTAATAAGACTCTTTTAGCCAACGACAGACATCAAGCCTCCGGTAGATGAGGACTGCGAAGAAGAAGGAAGCGGTGAAAAGTCGACGACTCAAACGCCATCAGAAGCCGTCGTCAAGAACGTCGTTGACACGGAAGACGTCGATGACCTCGGTCAGAAGCCGAAGATTCCCGCGGGCAAAGAAGAGCACATACAGGACTTCTTGCGCACTCTCCGTACTTTCCTTAGTCGGGCAGAGCACAACGATTTGAGGTGGTAACATATCGTGAGAAGTTTCATCCAAGAATACTTGTTATCTTTTCAGGAAACTACTCGACGATAATCCTGGCAAAACCCTATTGGAGAAGATGAAGCTTGCCATAGCGGCGGCAAACGAGCGCGAATTTTCTAGGCTTAAGGAGCTGGAACTCATGAAGAAACACGGCGTTGATATCTCCAATGTTTGTAGAATTCTCTTCTACGGTCAAACAAGTAATGTTCGAGACTACTTAACTCATTTTCAGGTACCCGAACCAAGGTTAATAGCTGACTCTGAGCGTGAGGACCTATTCAAGAAAATTAGTGGCGTAGTCATGGAGGAGGCGGAGAAAGAGGGACTGGAAACTGCTACTGAGCCGTCAGCTCGTACAACAACCCAGGAAACATTACGGACCACAGCGGAGGCCGAGGTCAGTGCCTATGAAATCACTAGATCATCTCAGTCTAAAGTATGGGGTCATGTGTAGGAGTGGCAGGGGAACAGAGAGAGAAGGGCCGTCAAACTCTGTATTTCTTCCATGCATTGCTTCGAGCCCTAAGTTTCACAAATACTAGATAAGAATTTGTGAAACATGATCGCAGAAAAAAATTGATAGAGAAACTATGAAGGAGGCTGGGTGACCGAAATCGACGCTTGGCAAAGTGGTATCAAGCAAGGAAGGTGCACTGCTAAAAGTTATAGTGAGCTGGGCTAGTAGTTGCGCCGGAATGTGCAAAGTTCCATTCGAAAGTTCAAAAGAGGAGGAACGGGCATAAATGATGGGAGAGTAGGGGCCCATAATAGTCACCCCGACCAGGGAGAGCGGATGGATGAATTCAGCGTCGATTGTCTGAGCGTACAAGTTGGACCACTGAGAACTTTTCCCTGAGAACTCGAAAGGGCTCCTGCTGACTGCGGGCCTTGGTTAATTTGTTACAAAATTTGACTTCCCCTGAGCAGCATATACGCTTAGAGTGCACATGGTGGTTACTGAACATCTAATAGCACATTTGGTTATTAGTTTTTTTGGTTAAGTTTTATTTTTCCAGGAAACGCCCACAAGTGTTCAAGCAACGAGTTCCAAGGAAGGCCACAGCGAATGGAATCAGGAGAAAAAGAATGACAAAGGAATTAGCTCTGAAAGCATAAAAGAAGATAAAAACGATGAATCACTGATACAAAATCCTAGCACTAGCACAGAAAACAACGAAACAACGGCTCAACCGAAGACAAGTGCTGAAATACCGGTGAGGACGGTGCAGCTCAAAGAGTTCGATAACAAAGAGGAAATCATGAGCCGAGAGGCCATTCTTGAAGCCGAAGAGAAGCGGAAGGAGGACAGTACTCTAGAGAAGAAAAGTGACGAAGAAGGTACGAACGAAGAAGACGAGGAAAAGGTAAAGACTGAGCCCATCAAGTCAAAACAAGGAAGTGGATCCAGCGAAGGCGGCAAGGATGATGAAACGAGCACGACGAGCAGTGCAACAACGCAGTCAACTGGGAACAGCTCAAATGAGAAAAAGTCAATGGACGACGACGAGCATGATTCAGATGAAGATAAATCATCGAAATCTCGTGAAGAAAAAGTTGGTTTAACTACGTATTCAAAAGAAGTTCCCGATGACCGTGCACCTGAAGTTGGCACAGAAAAAACGCCGGCTGCAAAGAGAGCTGAACGAAGACGATTAGCAAAAGAAAAAGAGGCTCAGCAGAAGAAGGACAAAGGAGGAAAGACCACGAGCCAGCAGAAGAAGGACAAAGGAGGAAAGACCACGAGCAAATCCTCTAGCGAAGAAGACAGCCGTGACAAAACGAACCCTCTAGGGTTGCCCACTCTTCCACCACTTCCACCACCTCCAACGTTGGCGCCCAGTCTCCAAAAAGTGCTTGATAACATTGGAGAGCAATGGAGGAAACTCTTCCCACCGCCCAAAGTGTTTAGACTCTAAACACAATGTTTTTGTGTGAGTCATGTTGATCTGAATTATGGGTGCGATGTACATGTTTTATTCAGATATTTATTTTTGTGCAATAGTGTTCGTTTACGTTTTGTGCAATAATGTACGTTTTTTTGATAAACGAGTCTTTCCCATTCTTCGGAGATATATTGGATAAAATACGTAGTCATGATAGCGAACGAGCTACGAAACTACTGCACAGAGTTATTTTAAACGAAAATGGCACGATAAATCGACAAGAGGTACAGGGTCGACACGTCAGCAAGAAAAGAAAATTGTCTCCCTTGGCAGGCGCTGCGTGGCTACTTTTCCAATCAAGGGCACCATTATAGCGCCTAACGAGGCTGTATATGCCATCCCAGACGTTCATGCAACCCCCCGCCCACAACTAGACGAACAGTCGCATCACATCTTACCGCTTCGCTTAACACTTAAGGGCAAAATCCGCGATCATTCGCTATCACAGATAGTGGATTAGGAGTTTGCAGACAAAGAAAAAGTGAAGAAAAAGCAGAAAACAAACACGCCAACTGCCATAGATAGAACCCCATTCTCAACTCCAGTTAACTCCATCTCCAGCACTACGCCTTCATTCGCACAGCTGATTCCCGAACAAGAACCCTACGACCGTACGATTCCCATGCTTTTTTCGTCCTGCAGCTTCGTTTTTTCACCGAAAGGCCGGCCCTGAAGGCGCAGTCTGGACGCGGAATCATTGGCAAAGGGAGCGTCACTGAGCCTATATTGCCCGACTCCGTGGACACCCATGCGCGTTGGGCGCGAATTTTGGGCGTCACCGCGGCGGCAGGGCGAAGCGAAAGGCGATGGCCCGCGCCTCCGCCACTGTGCTCCAATCAGCAGCCGCTTTTATGTGGAAGGAAAAAGAGGAAAATAGAGAGGGAAAGATGAAGGGACAGATAGTGGATGCTACACGTGAGTTAGTGGTAGGGGTGAGAGAATATCACGGCAATTCGTCAAATGGCAAAACTGGCGAAATAGTTCCCTTCGATTGTGAAAACGACGCAAACAGCTCTTACGCAAACGTTTAAGGTGAGGTTTGGCAAATTGCCAACAGTTGGATGTGACCTTATAACGGTATAACGGTAATCGAAGGGAAACTATTCCGCCATTTACTGAAGTAATTCGCTCTGATAGTCGACTTTTCTGTATTCTCTCACCACTACTACTAACTCAACTATACGCATCCACTATTTGTTCAATCCTCTTTTCTCTCTTTTTCCAGCGGCTACTGATCGGAGCACAGTGGCGGAGGCGCGGGCCATCGCCTTTCTCTTTGCCGTGCCAGCCGCGGTGATCGCTCCGCATACGAGCCCGGGTGAGTTTTTCCCTTCTCCTATACTGCCCTTCTTGGAATTTTCTGTTGCGAAACCGGTGCAAGGTTGTTCGTCGCATACCACACTACCCTCCCGACGCCATATTTGCAACTTCTATTCTTGATCGCGGACCTTGCCTTTAAGTACGTTCATTTTTCATTTTCTCACTATATAGGACCCCTGGAACTATTTCTGAGGAAGTACCAAATTATCATGCCTTACAACTCTGTTTGAAATGAATAAAAAAATATCCGAATCACTTTAGAGGGATGAAATTTTGAAGATTTGCTTGTGAAATTAATTGAACAGAGCCAATGCGACTCTTCTTTTTCAAGCGGAGGAAATGTTGTGGTCGTGTACCTTGTTTCGTCAATCCCTTCTTTCTTAGCGTTCTTGAGAAAATACTGTCGGAAACCGCTTTGGCCAACGTTCATATTCTGGTGTCATTCGGCTAAGGACAGGCCAGCACCGTTTATGTCCGTCTCCAGGCTGTATACCTGTCATACTCTGGGTTGGCCCTTTGGGACCTGCATAAATGACTTTGTCAGCTGGATACGGTGTAGGAGGCCTTCGATGGACATGATCGGGAGGCGGCGGGAGAGCGGGAAATCGGCTGAACAAGCATTTTGTCTCGGACGTTTCACTTCGGATAGACTTAGACCGTTATCAGAATCTGCTAAAAGACTGTCAACAGAGAACGGTAAAAAAAACTGTCCAGACAAATGTTTTTGTGTATTTCAGTAAAAGGATCGGATAGCTAATTCACTACTACAAATGTTTCCCAAAATTTTAGCAGCACGAGGTTGGCAGAACCTGAAATTGATCTCACTTCTACACAAGGTGAAGCAAGGAAGGTAGTCGAATCAAGAATAAATATGACTGCTCATAAAGGCAACCTATTTTTTTCCACAATCGATTGATATAGCGTTTGTTTTATCTTTGGCGTCATTTATCGCTAATTTCGTACCACTTTTCCTACCGGA